ATGTTTAGTAACGATTATATTCACAGATGCAAACAAAATGCATGCTATATACAATAATAAAATAAAATAATTCAACTATATTTTGTTTGTTATACCATGAGATTTCATGTCAGAGGTTCATACAAAATCGTCACATAAACATTTGTAACATCATTTTGTGACATCACTTTTATAATGGTATCAAATAAATAGGAAATTTACTGTTTAAGTTGCAATTTATGTGTTATGTTTTACATAATAATACTGTCATATAAACAATTTTAAAGAATAAAAAAAAATAATGCTTAAAACATTGCGTTAATCAACATTGTAGTGAGCAAATCATTCCATAAAGTGTTTACATTTTCACTTTTTATATCACCAATTTGTATAATACACATAAAATCTCATGGTTTACATGTATATAGCCTTTATCTACATAAGCAAAAGTAAAAGTAAAACGAGGCGAGGTTAATTATTAGCGATAAATAAAATCTAGGCTACAAACAGCGGCGTCCGGACCGAGCCTGGCTTGTCCGAGACTACGTCACCGCCCCGCCCCGCCCCGACCCCCGCTGCCTACTGCACCACTACATACAAACACACTCCCGCTTTGATTACATCGCCGGAGTCAATAGGGGCATCTATCCACTCATGGTTATATCATCTGTGTAAACAACGATATAATTATTAAATCTACCAACTTAAACGCATTTTCCACTAAGCGTGTCTCTGATAAGGATAAGTGTTTCTCATACGAAAAGCGTCACGTTGTTGGAACTAGTAGGCATAAGTCAAACTAAATTATGACAGCTCACTAGCGCCCCCCTGTCAATGTCAAAAATGTTGTGTAATTTCTTATGTCAAAGTACGTTTTATATGTTTTGACTGAACGAAGCGCGACAGCTGCGCCTTTCACAATTCCAAAAAACCTCGTTCGACTAAGAAATTTCAAATTTTGTTTGAATTTTTAAGGTAAAGTCTTTTGTGCTTATATGAGGAACGTTAACATATTTATGTAATGTGATGTAAAAATACTTACTGGTCATATTTATATTTAGTAGATTAGAAGTGGAAGCCGCCCATGGGCACGGCTTGGTCCCCCGCGAAGTGGTACTGCCCGGAGGAGGAGACGGGCGCCACGCGGCCATCCTCGCTCTCCGACCCGAAGTAGTTCTCGATTATCTCGAATGACTTTTGGTAGATGTCGAGATTCTCGTGCGATTGCAGAAATTCTATTTTGTCTAAACCTGAAAGTTAATTAAACATTTCATTAGCTTACATTTTATTTCAATTGGTTTACACATTACAAATCATCAGTGATGAGTTAACTAAATTAATGTATTAGATAGATAGATAAAGTCTTTATTCTCTGACCATAACATTTTTAACACAAACTTAAAGTTTTAGTTTATGACCTTCGGAGTAATCCTCTCCTAGTATTTAGTTCAGGAAAATAATTAATTAAGCTAATACAAATAACTCCAGCGCTTTCATAATAACGGAATAATGTGTATTTTTAGTGTTCCTAAGTGTAAACAAAGATAACATACCAAAACATTCTTCGATGAGAGTGGCGTATGGGTTCAACTGATCTGCCTGCTGTCCCGCTTTCAGTATATTGTCAAGTCCATTGAGCGCTACTTGAACAGTCTTTGAATCCGTTAAAGTTAGCAAATCACAGAGAGGTGGTATACAACCTTGTTCCACTAAATACCTGTGATAAAACATACATATCTTTTATAAAATGTATTTTCACTGCCGCAAACTCTTGGGTTAGATGTAGCTTCCTTTCTATCTGTTAGTTTTTAACATAAAAGTGATCAAAGAAATTGCTTCCTTATACTGGTATAAATTTGAAGGTTACCTAATTTGGTCCCTAGTGCCTCCACTGGTAGCATTGGTAATCGCCCACGCGGCCTCTTTCCTCGTTTTGAACTCCGCCTGCCTCAAGATCTCGATAAGCGTCGGAACAATATTCGCATCGATTACTGCCTGTAAAGAACATGCATTCAAACATGTCATATTTGGTTCAATTTCAAATATGAGAGAAGTTACAATATATAAAAAATTCGTCATCTTTCTGTTCTTCTTCTCTGGGGATGGTGGGCACAGTATGTATTGTATTTAATAATTTTACAGGTTCAAGGTGACTGCACTTCACTTTACGCCTTATCTATCTAAATTATGTTCTTTGCAATGACTCTTACGGTGTTTTGACCCGCCACTATATCTTATTCTTGTAGTTATAAACACTTTATTCCTAAAAAGCAAGATGTTCCAAGTGACCTGTATTTGCACAGCATTGCCAGCAGTGATGTTGGAGAGGGTCCAGCAGGCCTCCTTGCGCAGCGCCTCCGTGTTGGAGCGCAGCAGGGCGTGCAGACTAGGCAGCGGGTTGCAGTTCAGTACCGCCTGTGTCTGCGCGTCGTGCCCTGTCACAATGTTGCCCACCGCACGCAGCGCCGCCGACACCACGGTCGATTTGTTGTGCCTGCAATTTTAATAAGTAGTTTGGTCTACGATTTCACGTTCCTTAAATAAAATAGATATATTTTATTGGTCTAGCAAAGCTGAGGAATTTTGTCATTATGGAATAGAATCAATAGTTACATGAGTAGCTCGACGAGTCGCCTGCAGACGCCGGCGTCGATGACAGCTTGTATCTTCTCATTGGGCCCATCAGAAAGGTAGGAGAGCGCCCAGCACGCGTCACTCAGTACGTCTGCGTCCGTGTGGTGTAATAGCCGTGCCAGTACCGGGATACCTTATACAAAAATGTCTCATACATATAATATTGGTATATTCTGTGGCTTTATCGTTCTTATTATAAAACTCACCTGGAGCTACGGCTTCAAAGTTTGTGGGAGGATTTTTGCCTCTACAAAGATTTGAGAGTGTCCACACGGCATTCCTTGTCATGGATAACCTTGTATATTTATTTAAAATTCTGGAAAGCAAAATCGGTATTTTGAAACTGTTGTCGTTGAAACTACTGTTTTGGTAGAAGTAAATACCCTATGGTCACTTTGACCATACAATGAAAATCGTGCAATTTTACACAAACACCCCTACTTTTCTTTATATGTCTATAGTTCCATATATTTCGCTGCATAGCTAGCTAGAATAACAACTGCCAAACTTTGATAATTGAAGGGCCCTTCAATAAAAAGAAGACAAAGCTAGCTGGAAATACATATGTGTTGCTACTGACTCTATAAGTGGGGGTAGTACGCCAGCGGCGAGAACGGCATCCCGGCAGCGCGGCGAGTCACCGGCGACATTTCCCAGCGCCCACACCGCCTGCTCGCGCACGTCGTCGCCCGCGCCGCCGCCCACTAGCGACACCAGTGCGCCAACCGCGCCACTCTCCACCACCACGCGTGTTTGCTCCGACGTGCCAGATGCTATGTTCGTCAACGCCCATGCTGCCTCAAACTACAGACACAACAAAAGTAATGTACAAAAAAAGACTAAAGTGCACATCAAATTAAAATTTTAATACTCTGTGTATTGATTGCCCATTATAGTGTTTTATTAAACTTACTTAGAAGAAATTAACATAAATTCTCACCTGCAATGTTGGATTAGAACTATTAGTTAAAAATTCAACAAATTTAGGAACTATTCCAGTCTGTATCACTTCATCTATAGGTGGATTAGGTTCCCGACTTAGAAGCTTTCTAAATTTCTGGGTGGCTACAATTTGTTCCTGTTGGTTATCACTATATAGTGCAGCCACCATCTGTGGTGTGATGTCATCAGATGTTGAAATGTTAATATCATCCTGAAATACATCGGTTTTATATGTAAGTCTTATAATAAACACTGATCTGTTTAGATAATGAGATCTATAAATGTTATAATTCTTAAAATTCATATTACCTGCAAAGCAATGTCAGGAGCATTAGGTGCTGGTAGATTTACGTTTCTTCTTTTAAATAATTGTTGCTCTCTTTTCTGCTTGCGCAACTGCACTCCTTCCTCTTCTCGACGACGACGCAACTCATCAGCACTCAAGCCTACATTCTTGTAACGATGTTTATGACCTCCAGACATCTTTCTGTAAGAGGATTTAAAATTTGATTGATAACCCTTAAAGTATGAAACCAAACCTTAAATATCAATTCAATTTTTCTTTAAAGTTGTAGATAAATCTGTAAGATTATCAATACATTCAAAATATTTAATTTATTAATAAATAAAACATGCTCAACACTTTAACATGTAAAAATTAATCCTATTAGGTTTTAAACGGAGAAATAAAATAAGTGGCTAATATCAGCTAATATAAAAAAAAAAATTAAATTTATACCAATGATTACTGTTGTCTACTAGGTGTTTCATTCATCAACAAATAAGTATCAATCACAATATTTAAACAAATCTATATAATGTGACTGAAGGCTGAAGAAATCATAAAAAAATTATTTACAATGAAAATAGTGAATTGAATAAAATTTTGGATTAAATTAAAATTTTATATTTAACCTCAACTTAAAATTATTAAACTGTTTATAGCAGCACAGAGAGATACATGTTTGACACGATTAAGTGAAAATTTGAAGTTAAAACGCAAATTTTAAAAGAAATACAAGTGGAAAGGCAAAAAGACAATGAAAAATTAGAGCTTTTGGTTGACATGTCTGTCGCATTAACTTAGCTATTAATAATATAATTTAAAGTTCTACAAGCCAAATATAATATTATTACATACCTACTAATTGAAAAACAAATCTCTTGTAAAAATGGTATAGTCAATCCAACATCTATTTGCTGAAAACAAAAATTATTTTCTATAATTCAGTTTCAAGGCGATCACGTCATGAATAATGAATATGATACAAAGAGTATGTAAAGGAAGAGGAAAGACTGAAAAAAGAGTTTAGATCAAAGAGTAAAAATGCACAAATGGTATTGATGGTGACAGACACAGTGGAAAAAAGCAATTTTTTAAAATACAATTTTGTTTCTCAGCTCCGGCATATACTCCTCTATGTTTGTTTTTCAATATTTAATTTTGGGTTTGTAACATTCCGGTAACTAAGTTATTACAAAGTGTTATGGTTGTATTTTGAATTCGACTGAGGGAAAGTAACGAAGGGTTTGAATCAAGACAATATAAACTTCTTATATTACCATTCATTAAAGAAATCTCAAAAAAGAAAATTATTCATTTCACTTATGCTTTGGTTTATTAAAAATGTTCAATTTTCTGTAAGTCGTTACATTGCCTGACGTAAAAATTACGTAATTTAAAGTAAATTGTAAATCTGTGATCTTTGATTTTGTAAAATTTCTATCTGTCAAATAATTTTTCCGTAAATTTTCAATTTTATGTTTTGATCGACACCGAAATGGTATTTATTTCGACAATGAATAAACTTATAATTAATAGAGCTCAAATGCTTTTACTGACAAGAGGCATGTGTGTGCCTGCTGGCACTGCCGGAACAACTCCAACACCTAAAAATGAAGACCGTATAATGTCAAGAAAATTTAGACCTTCTAATTTTCAGAAAACTATTCTCGTTTGGACGAAAAAATTTAAAAGCAAGGAAGAAATACCTACATTTGTATCGTACGTAAATGTTTTAAGTTTTCTTTACTATTATGCAATATTTTATAACATTTTCCTGTTAGGTGTCATTTTCTGATCAATACAATATTACTTTTATTTCAGTGCGGAAGTGATTGATAGAGCAAGAAGTGAAGCGAGGATAAAGATATCGAATGTCTTAATGGTCCTTACTGCCCTTGCAAGTTTAGGAGCAGTATTAGCTGGTAAATCAGCTGCTAAAAGAGGTGAATCTGTACACCAAATGAATTTGGATTGGCACAAGAAGTACAATGAAGAGCAATCAGCAAAAGTGGAGGTAGCAAAGCCTACAAATTAATAATGCTTTGTTAGACAAACAGTTGCAATGCTACAATTGGTTTAGGTACAAGTTTTATTGTATTTTGTAAAGTTTTAGTTAAGTGCAGAGCTTAATAATATCTATTTATGTAATTTGTTGTTTTCTTTTATTTTTTATAATAATGACTCCAGCTGTAACTGTGTAACCATTTTCTATACAAAAAAATCTCAGGACTGATTGATAGGATATGTTAATATGCCAAAGAAAATAGAACAAAAGTAACAACCTAAAAATTAAAAATATTGTAAAATGGATTTCCATTTTATTACATCATGCAAGCACTGCAACATTATTTATATCTTCATGTTGTTTTAACTTTAGCATTGGAAAATTTGCTGCATTCAGCTAATACTAAAATGTTTTCCTGGAACTGATATAAATATAAAAAAGACTTAAAAAGCTATTCTTTACTATTTATATAACTATATACAAAATATTCCAATTGTACCCTGTAATTTAAATGTCAGTCTTCATGAATCAGTAGGCTTGTAATACGATCTACATTTCTCAGTGAACAGTTTACTTGTCTTTTCTTTAATCACTTCTTCCACACTGAGCTCAGTTTGTAAGAGACGTAACTAAAAACAGTATAAAAATATTGTAGTAAAAAAGCTGTAAACATTATGTTTAATTGACATATACAATCTTTAAGACAATCAAAAGTACTTGCAGTTTACCCTAAGGATAAAATTGGCAAGCAAAGCAAAACACATGTAAACTTAGATAATGAACAACTAGATATATTAATGATAGGGCAAAAGTAAAGTTAATATGATTTGTATTTGCTAGATTGACAAATGAATAATGTTTTTCATGGCTACACATGTTATAATGAGTTATTCCTTACCATACCATAGTAATATTAGCAGTCAATATTCATGAGAAGTCTATATTTTTAATACCTTTCTTTGTTCAGCTTTCAAATTCTTCAAAGTCTCAAAATCATCAGGATTTGTCTCTTTAGCAGATAATAAATTTTTAACACTGTCAGCAGTTGTGACGATACACTTTTTAATAACATTTTCTCTTTCCTCATGGCCCTTTTGTATTTGATGGTATAAGTCTTGACAAGCTTCTGTAGCATTTACTTTTGTTTTAAAAGACTCCGTGGGGATAGAAGTATTCAGGGTATAAACTATTTTATCATCCAACACCCGCATTTTTTTAAGGATGTCCTAAAAATAAATTGTCATAAAAGTTTTTAAAATAAGATTTTATGTTAACGACGGGCTGAATAACCTCAAACCTTAAGGTTATAAAAGCTTTATGTGATATTAATCAATATTAATAAATTCAAACCTGAAATTCTAGAAAATCCGGGCAAATCATTGCTTTGTTTATTTAAAATATTGAGCAAATACACGAAAATTTCTATCACGAAGGATAAGTCCTGCTCTGTACACTATTCTTTATCTATAAACACGGTCGGTTTGTCTTTTTCCAAAGAGAATGAAGAACGCAACATGATCTCAGGCAATCTCAGGTGTCAATACGTTAAACTAACCAACATTATGTAAAACTACAGTTGTAGCCAGTTGTAGCACGGCAAAAAAGTGCCGAAGGCAGTAGGAAACTAATGTGAAATTTTTAATCTTGGTTGTTATAGCACATCAAGGGATAGACCAGGTTAGACCTGAAAGAAAAGATGTTCAAAGATAGGGGTGTCTGTCAGGTCTCAGGTGAAAATTTCTAGCACAAAGCGAAATGTGAGAGTTTAATAAGGAAGCCAAGAGAAACTAAACCAATAACCCAACGGGGTAGAGATCACAAAACTCCATTTGGCAGGGTGGCAGGGTCCCAACACACCTCTCGCCTCTTCTACATTCTAGCGTATTTCAGTTCAGAGTCTTATTAGTCTAAAATTTTAATCTAAATAGAAATAGGTTTTGGGGAACAACATTGCAAGAAGAAAGCCAATAGAAAATCTAGTTCATAGTACCAAGTGGTACCAAGACCAAGCCCGTGCACTACAAGGAACCCGTAAAATATTGCAATATGGGTCGTAAGTGGCGCCCCCATCATTTTCTTTTGCTTTTGCCAGTTTTAGCGTTCGACCAGACATTTTGTTATCTGTTCCTGTTATTTGACGTTGTCAAATTGTCAAACAAAACATTTGTCTATGGTACTATTATGTTATCTGTTTTCTTGCTCTTTCTGTCTTGACACAAGTCAAAATGAAGTAGGTTTTGGCAATAATTTTTATATTTTCTTAAATCAAATTAATCTAATACAGTTTTTTTGTGTGAATACATATAATTAAAAGTGTAGTGTATTCTTTTCATGATGTTTGTTATATTTTCAGGATCGGACTTTGCGCCTACAGTGGTTACAAGATCTATCCTGGCCATGGAAAAACCATGGTTAAGGTAGATGGCAAGGTAATTTAATAAATTTTAACTTACTACTCTTTATATATATATATCAAACAATATAGTATTAAAGCAATGTATTAGTTGGTCTGGTATTCAGAAAGTTGATTGATTATACTTGCAGGTTATCAAAAGTTACACTTGGGTGTCATTGTCGTATTATAAAAAATAACAACTTGTTTAGGATCTATAGTCAAAGTATCAAACAGTCATTAAGTAATTATATTTAATTCAAAGACATCTAAACTAAATATTGATATAAAACCATTTATGATTCATTTGTGAACATTAGAAAAAGTTTAAAATTTAACAGAAAGTAAAGTGTAACTTATTTTAAAATATACTATATCGTTTTGTTATCTAAATTAGAAATGTTTGTATCAAGTTTTCTCCGAATATAAAATAAATTGAATTGAATGAAATTAAATGTATTTCCATATTTTCAGACCTTCACATTCTTGAATTCAAAATGTGAAGCTGCCCATCTAATGAGAAGAAATCCTAGGAAAGTGACATGGACAGTCCTTTACAGGTACAGTATACATTTTAAATGTTTAAAAATGTCTCATTTAATTTGTAATGAAGTATTTCTTAATACTTTCATCGCCTAGCCAAAGCATTTCCAGAAATTTGTGAAGCTTCATTGATTTAACTTGAAATACTACTATATATTTAAAAAAAAACTTCCATCTGTTATAAATGAGTAATGTAATGTAGAATTATTCATCATGAAACATGTCTACTAAAGTGTTCTGAGAGATTTACACACAAATTTTTGAAATATGTGTATGTTTTGATAATTATAGGCGTAAGTTTAAGAAAGGCCAAGAGGAAGAGCAGGCCAAGAAGCGTACTAGGAGGACACAAAAGTACCAGCGTGCAATTGTAGGTGCATCCCTCAGTGATATCATGGCTAAGAGGAATATGAAGCCTGAAGTGAGGAAAGCCCAGAGGGAACAGGCTATCAAGTAAGATAAAATAAAAATTAACAAATATATGTAGTCAATTTTTTACAATTTTAAGCTCAATATTAATACTAAATTTCATTTTGGAAAGCTGAACCCAACATATATTGTAAAAAGACTTCATTCATAGTCTTAAAAAATTCTTAAAAGGTTGTAGATTTGTACATGCCATGTCCAAAAAGTATTTGTCCTTTTATTATTGTTGTATAGATTGTAAAAGTAGCCTATTGTTTTAATTAAAGAATTACATGTCATAATAAAACTTTTAAATTATTTTTAGAGCTGCAAAGGAACAGAAAAAGTCCACTAAAGCAGCCAAGAAAACCACTGCTCCCCCCACAAAGGCTAAGGCGGCACCCAAAGCGAAGGCCGCTAAAGTAAGTCAGAAGTCTGCCCCGCGTGTTGGAGGCAAGCGATAAGAACTTTGGTAACAAATAAAAAATAAGAAAACATGTAATTTTTTTTCTTTCCACCCTTTTTACCTATAATTACTTCATCCAATATCCTGGACTGTAATCTAATCTATTGGTTGATGACACCTGGTGTATCCTAAATAGTAAATTAAAAGGATGTTTGTAAGGTCAACCAACCCGCAACGGTCCAGTGCGATTTGTTATGGCCGAGTTATTAGGGTAAGCTCTGAGTTCCACAGTAATGAGCTTACGACTTCATCTAAATGATTTCACAAAAAAGCAATACTTGTCATATTTTTATTGAATTAGTTATGGTAGTTTCTAACATTGAAGAAGTAACTTACCAGTGTTGAGGTATTGAAACATGTTTTTGGGTATTAGTAGTGTATCCATACAGGAAACAAAACCAACATGATTGTAACTAATAATGCCATTAACTGTATAAATAACAAAGTTCTCAGTTGATTTATTATCCAGCAGGACTGGCCAATAAAACCACATCTAAAGCTCATGTTGCTCCTATGATCGCAACCCTCTCTGCTTGTTCCTTCTGATAATTAAATATAGGCAACTCCTCAAATATGTCAAGGAACTGTGTTCACCTCACTGTTTTGGTGAATTTAGGTGGCTCTCTGCTGCTTTTTATTACAAAAAAATTAAAGAATAACAAAAACAGCTGACTTACATCCATATTTGCTTGGATCAGAGGTTACAGATGATTAGGATAACCATAGTCTAAATACAATCATACAGAGTTACATAACTCGAACTCATTTTGCGCTTACCATTTTGTTTAAAATAAAAAAGTTTAGGTTTTTTAACATTAAACTTTGAAATTAAAAATAATTCTGAATTTCAATATTGGAATAAACTGGTTATATTCCAATATAATTGAATAAAGATAAATCATTTTATAACTGTCTTTTGTTTTCTATTTTAAATATTATGTAATTTGTAACAAAAGATTGTGTAATGCAACTGAATTTTGAATAGATGTTAATGTTCCAAACAGCAATTTATATACAGTATACAAGTTCAACTGCATTTTAAAGCTGTATCAATGAAGTAAATGAAAGTCTTGTGTATATTGGTAGTTTTATTTAATATATAATGGATCACATGTACATACCATTTTCATCAGCTGATTATTTAATAATAACCTTTTTGAGGTATGCAAGTTACATTGCAATAAGTTACTGGTTTGACACTAAAAATAGATAATGATAATTCTAACACCATTGAAGACAGCTCAATTATGCGTTTTTGGCCAGTGTTTCTGCCTTTGCTACAACCTCTTCAATGGGCCCAACCATGTAAAATGCTACTTCAGGTAAGTGGTCATACT